AAGGCAATCAGGTTGGTCTGACATGATCTCCCCCTAATAAATCCATGCTGATTGCCCCTGAGCATCATTTCTGATGCCGGCCCATCACAAATGTGCTCCTTGATGATCTTCTCAAAGAGTTTCCCCAGGATTGAGGTAAGACTGACGGTGAACTGATGGATAGAAACTATTCTGTCTGGTGAACTGTTGGATAGAAACTTCTCTCAATATTTCGCAGAGCATCAGTGGCAGAGAACGGAGTTGAACAGAGGTGTTTCAAGTCCCAGCCTAATTCCCTACACTTGGACAATCCTTCCTATGATAATGAGTAGCTAAAAGCAAACCCCACTGGGAAAAGACGAGTCAGATTTGCTTTCCCCTTGGTCCCCATCACTGACGGATGGACTCTTTCTGGTCTCTCCCTAATAGCAGGCAGATACTGTTTCTCTAAGAAGCCTTGCAGAGGCATTCAGTCTCTGTTGTATTAGGCAGTCAGATAACTGAGACGGTACCTAACTCCTGTGGAACCAGAGACAAACCCTGGACGTGCATCTCCTAGGCAGTGTTGCCAACTCTTTGAATCTGTTCCGGGAGGTTTCATCACTTGACGTAATGGCATTAATGACTTTACATTAGGAAGGTAAGTGTACATTACATTTTAAAAAAACCCACTGGACTACTATAAAAATCAGATTTAACATTTAATATTTATTTTAATGAATGCCCTATCATTTATTCCCTGGGTGACTCTCAGCTGTCTCCTGGAGATATATTTCTAATTCCTGGAGACTCCAGGGCAACCCTGGAGGGTTTGCAACCCTACTCCTAGGGTGGCATCTATCCCCAGCACATCTCCCTGACATCTATTTTATCACAGGCACTAAGGACCCATCCTGGTGGATTGAAAAAACTACAAAAATTAAACACCGAGTCCGTGACTGCTTTCTACAGTCAACTGCAAACCATGGCAGACGGAAGAGCTAACACATCAGCAAGTCAAGGGGAATGCTTATAAAATGCACATAGGCAAAACTTAGCCCTGGGTCTCCCCTCAGCTCCAGCCAACATTTTACTCAGCCGGGGGAAGCTTGTGGGGTTTGAAAAGCCTGGAGCAAACTCCTTTTAACACCACTGGCTTCAGAAGATGGACCCCAGGGTTGCATTGCCCAAATATTTCCTGCGAGTCTCCCCCTGAGGACAACGTCTCCCTCTCATCCCGTCTGCATCCCCCGAGGGGGACTCGGCACGGCCCAGGGGCATGGGACCCCCGGTGTCCTGCGGCTCAGGGCTGCCGACTGCTGCTGCTTGCTGTGGACTCGCCTCTGCAGGAGACCGGCACTAGCGGGCCACATGACCAGCCGAGGTGCTTGGCTCGGACCTGCCCCCGGGACTGGCAGCATGGGACCAAAATAGAGGTTTGAGACTTCCCTCCTCTCACTGGCTTTCGCCCCAGCCTGGCGGGGAGGGAGAAAGGCGGGCCGCTCCACGTCGTAGGCCCAGCCCCGCGCGCCCCGCGCGCAGGTGGAGGGGCCGCCCCTCCC